TCCGTGACATTTCCCGGCTACTAAATATTCCGCCGCGGTCACCTGTTACTGGGATTATAACAAAGTGGAAGCAACCGGGAACAACAGCAACTCAGCCAGGAAGTGGTCGGCCGCGTCACATGACAGAGCGGGGTCAGCGCATGCTGAAGTGCACAGCGCGCAGAAGTCGCCAACTGTCTGCAGAGTCAGTAGCTACAGACCTCCAAACTCAATGCGGCCGTCAGATTGGCGCAACAACAGTGCGTAGAGAGCTTCATGGAATGGGTTTCCATGGCCAAGCAGCGGCATCCAAGCCGCACATCACCAAGTGCCGCGGTGTAATGCGCGCCGCCACTGGACTCTAGAGAAGAGGAGGCGTGTTCTCTGGAGGGACCAATCACGCTTCTCTGTCTGGCGATGGGCGTGTCTGGGTTTGGCGGTTGCCAGGAGAACGGCAATTGCCTGACTGCATTGTGCCAAGTGTAAAGTTTGGTGGAGGCAGGATTATGGGGGGAATGGGGGGTGTTCAGGGGTTGGGCTCCGCCCCTTACTTCAAGTGAGGGGAACTCTTAAGGCATCAGCACACCAAGACATTTTGGACAATGTCATGCTCCCAACTTTGTGGGAGGAGTTTGGGGACGTCCCCTTCCTGTTCCAACCTGACTGCGCACCAGTGCACAAAGCAAGGCCCATAAAGACATGGATGGGGGAGGGGGGGGGGACGTGACTGGCCGCACAGAGTCCTGACCTCAACCCCATAGAACACCTTTGGGATGAATTAGAGGCGGAGACTGCGAGCCCCTCCCCCAACATCAGTACCTGACCTCACAAATGGTCCAACCCTAACCCTACGGACTAAGACTGGGGGGCCATTAGAGGGCGGAGCCAATCCAATACTGAACCCTACGGACTAAGACTGGGATGCCATTAGAGGGCGGAGCCAACCCAATACTGAACCCTACGGACTAAGACTGGGGGGCCATTAGAGGGCGGAGCCAATCCAATACTGAACCCTACGGACTAAGACTGGGATGCCATTAGAGGGCGGAGCCAACCCAATACTGAACCCTACGGACTAAGACTGGGGGGCCATTAGAGGGCGGAGCCAATCCAATACTGAACCCTACGGACTAAGACTGGGATGCCATTAGAGGGCGGAGCCAACCCAATACTGAACCCTACGGACTAAGACTGGGGGGCCATTAAAGTTCATGTGCGTGTAAAGGCGTCCCAATACTAATGGCAATATAGTGTATATATATACTGTAAGGCGTCATTACCTGGGTGAGGAAGTCCATGCTGTAGGTGTAGGCGATGCGGGCATACGGCAGCACTGGGACATCAGCGGCCACCCTGAGTCCTTCCTGCACACGGTACCTGACAAAGGGCCCCACATGTTGGGAGTTCTTCAGGCCTCTGTCCAGGTAGATGTGCGGATATAAAGCCCGGCTGATCCTCCACAGCCAGTCCAAGGCGTCGTTCCTTTGCATCTCCTCATCTGAACACCGGCCGGTGTATTTCTGGCTGGACTTTATGTAGCCGTAATTGTAGCATTCCGGAAAGCCATAAAACCCCCAGAGGCCATTGGGGCTCAGCTGGAGGGCCATCTGCAGGGTGGACGTCATGAGTTTCTTGGCCGCTGCCTCAAACTGCTTCTTTGCCAACCTCTTCAGCCTCCTATATGACCAGCCCGGGTGCCAGAGATGGACCAGCTTCAGTGACATCAACTGATAGAGGGTCATATTTTCCCAGTTGCGGGCCCATAGCGGCCTCCACTCCTCCCAGTCCACCACCGCCACTCCTCTGAAACTCCGGTCTACCATGGCGGCTTTCAGATCTTGCTGAGCTTTAACCAAATGGTCCTCCAGGCTTACATTTTGTGGAAGACCGCCATTGACCGCCCCATGTTCCTGGCTGTAGTAAGGATAGAGACCCAACTTGGTGCTGTAGAAGATCACCACTTCCGGGCCCAGTAATGAATGGTTCTGGTTGACGACAATATCAAAAGCCTCCAGGTCCAGAGATACGTTGTGGCTGGCCAAGCAAGGCTGGGTAGGTGCGTTCCACATAATGATAAAAGGCCAGCCGGGGACAATGGGGTCACCGCCGGCCGGGAGGTACAATACAGAGACCAGGAGGAGGATACAGGAAGTGGCAACGAAGGCCGGAAGTCTAATGGGCATGGTGGCACCGTGTATGTTCTCGTCCCTGAGAAAAAGAAAGTCATTAAAGTCAGACGTCTGAGGAACCTCCACGTCTGAGGAACCTCCACTGAGGAGCCTCCACCTCTGAGAAACCTCCACTAAGGAACCTCCACCTCTGAGGAACCTTCACCTCTGAGGAACCTCCACCTCTGAGGAACCTCCACTGAGGAACCTCCACCTCTGAGGAACCTCCACCTGCAGTGATACCAGCGTTGGGACATCCAGGTCAATGCTTCTCACCTGTGCTACCTTTTCACTGCCTAAACTATGAG